GTGAGTGAATAGGAAATCAGAATTTCTTATTTCTGATTTTAAGGGAAAGGAAAGGACTAAAATATCACTGCTGATCTTAGCAGGTGTCAGATTGTGAACTCTTTCTCTTTGTGTACAGAATTGGGTTATGTGATAAATTATCATCTGCACACCCATAAAAGGGACAACAGCAGGAGGGGGAGCCCAAATTATGCCTTGGCTTCTACCAGTCCCACCACAGAAGTCGTCAGCCCATCTCCACATTATCTCAGCAGCTGCTGTACAATACATCAGTCAAAGCATCCAAAAAGAAACAAGATAGCAAATATCTAAATAACTTTTATGTATAAATAGTGGACAGTGAACTTTGTGATCCCTAATCAGAGATATGGAAAATTGGTGCATATAACTTCACCTTAATCACACACACACACAAAAAAAAAAAAAAAAAAAAAAAAAAAAGATTTAGTCTAATAGACTACACAAGTGATTAACTTGTATAACTTGTGTCCCAAGGCTCTGGGATCCTGGGTGCCCTGAGTTGGAGGACCATGACTGCAGGAACAATACACTACCAGGACCCTCAAACTTAGTGGGATTTGCTGCTCACCTAGATACATATAAGTCTACAGGACCCAAAGGGATTCATCCCAGAGTACTCAGAGAGCTCACTACTGTCATCATGACAACTCTCAATTATTTTTCAACCATCTGAGGACTCTGAAAAGGTCCCATTTGACTGGAAGCTGGCAAACACTATTCCAATTTTCAAGAATGGCAAGAAAGATGACCTTGGTAGTGGTCTATGATCTCGCTTCAGTGCCTGGTAAAATTATGGAGAAAAATATTCTGTGAGTTATTGAAAAACATCTGAAGGTCATTGGTCACATCTAAGATGGGCTCACAAGGGGAAATTCCTGCTTAACCAACTTAATTTTCTTTGATGAGAAGGTCACCCATCTAGTTGATCGTGAAAAGCTAGTTTATGTAATCTTTTTGGATTTCCATGAAGCTTTCAACAGTTTTTCAAAGTATGCTTCTAGACAAAATGTCCAGCATACACCTAGACAAATATATAGTAGAATGGGTGAACAATGGGCTGATGGGTGAGGCTCAGAGGATTATAGTAAATGGGGTCACATCAGACTGGTAGCCAGTCACTAGTGGGGTTCCCCAGGGATCCATTTTGGTGCCAGCTCTCTTTAATGCTTTCATAAATGATCTGGATGCAGGACTTGAATGTATATTGAGTTTGAAGATGATACCAAATTAGGAGGAGCTGTTGACTCCCTCAAGGGCAGAGAGGCCTTGCAGAGAGATCTGGACAAATTAGAGAGATGGGCAATCAATGACCATGTGAAGTTCAGTAACAGCAGCAGACGGATTCTGCACCTGGGACAGGGCAACCCTGGCTGTATGTGCAGAATGTGGACAAGAGGCTGGAGAGCAGCCTGGCAGAAAGGGAGCTGGAGTTCTTGTTAACAGGAAGTTGAACATGACCCTACAGCATGCCCTGGCAGCAAGGAGAGCCAACCATACCCTGGGGGCATCAGGCACAGCACTGCCAGCCAGGCGAGGGAAGGGATTGTCCTGCTCTACTCTGGTGTGACCTCACCTTGAGCACTGTGTGCAGTTTTAGGTACCACAATATAAGAAGGATATAAAACTGTTAGAGAGTGTCCAGAGGAGGGCTACAAAGAGGGTGAAGGGTCTGGAGGGGAAGATGTGTGAGGAGCAGCTGAGGTCCCTTGGTTTGCTCAGCCCCGAGCAGAGCAGGCTGAGGGGAGGCCTCATGGCGGCCTGCAGCTCCCTCAGGAGGGGAGCGGAGGGGCAGGCGCTGAGCTCTGCTCCCTGGGGACAGCGACAGGACCTGAGGGGATGGCATGGAGCTGGGACAGGGAAGGGTCAGGCTGGGGGTTAGGGAAAGGGTCTGCACCCAGAGGGGGGTCGGGCACTGGGACAGGCTCCCCAAAAACAGATAGAATCGAGAGGAATAACAACCACCCCACTCAGTCTCGTGGCACTCCATCACCAGAAGGTGGCTGCTCTTTGGGAATGTTCTTCATGGCAAGAAGGCTCCCTGTGTAAGGAATGAGTCAGCCCATGAGTAGAAACCAATCAGGAGCCTAAGGCACAGAGAAACTGTGAAGTATTGGGCAAGTTCATAGGATTTGGAGAGGGAGAAATCTGCATGCATGAACAAGACAGTCTGAAATACCAAGAATAAGAAAAGGATTAAACTGATAAGCCCAAAGAGCTAAAGCTGTGACAGCAAAATCCCAGGCTTTCTCTGGCACTGACAAGATGGAAAAGGAAGATATCAGATAGTAGGTCTGATAAACATACTTTGGTGGTTTACATGGTAATACCAGATTAGGAGCTGCTGGTATGAAACCGATGGGTATTTGCCACTGCTGTTTTATAAAAACTTAAAGAAATTCTGTGATAAAAAGATTAAGGCTGATAGGATTGGACAATGACTTGAGAATGCCTGAGTGTGGAAGCTCCAGAAAGAATGTGAGAATGGCCTTAAGCACATTATGCACTGATGATACCTAGATAAACAGATCAAAGGACACAGTAGGTCTACATACCAGCTCCTCAAAGTACACAAGCTGGTAAAAACAAGGACCACATTTACACTAAAACAAAGGACAAACCATAGACTTAAATTGTTGAGATGACAGCACAAGAGCACTGGGGCTGTAAAACAACCAACAGGAGACAAAAGCCAGTTAATGACTCACAGAGGTGGAATAGGACAGATCCTCACCATTAACAGCTCCTGGGGTACAAAAGCCACATCCAAATTTAGCATACAGCTGCTGACCTTAGAACCACCCAGAAGACAAGTATTTGATAGCATCTCTCATCCCTCGCTTCATTCCAAGGATATCTGGCCAGACCACTTTGACACATGCAACTGTGTGCCCTGCCTGCTACTTGCAGACACGTGGTGTGATGCTCCTGAGTATGTGGGTATGACTGTGTGAGTGCAAGAAAATAGTCTGGTTTGGTTTTGTTTTTAATTTAAAAAGTCACCTCCCCATCCTCTAAGGGATCACAATGAGCTTTGCTACATTATGTGCTACAGAAATTCCGTGGGAGTAATGGGATAGATAAGAGAAATAAAAATGATACCACAGCAAAGGGGATAATCCACACCATTTATCCACTTTAATCCAGGCGTTAAGGAATCACACACTCTAAACTTAGTACAAACCATTTTATTTCTGACTCAAGATTCCCCACTATTTGGCTGTGAAGAAGATTTGGTTGCAGGAAAAATTGCTGCTTTCCTTAATAGCATCTAACACTAGTTTGTTGTGGTTAAAAAAAAAATAGGATGATTTAAATGTCAAACCACTTCAAATTCAATATTCTCTTATGGCTCCAATTTAATTATTTTTCACCCTAAGTACTCCTGGCTTACAAACCTCACAACTTGAAGACCAATTCAAGACAACTACCAATACAATCGTATAGCATTTTAAAACACTCTTCATAACTTTTAAGTGGTGTCTTCTATTTCAGCTAGACAAAGCAACATCCCTCGCAACTTGCATCCTTCAGTCATTTTTTAGGATTACATGGTCAACCCAATGAAAGCAGCTAAAAAAGAGGAAGACTTACTAGAAAACAAGCAAAAATAAAAACAAGGTAAAAGTTATTAAAAAGGGGAAAACAATTAGGACAAGAATATGATCTAATAAGTTATTCTGCATGAATAATTATCTTGTCGAAATTCACACTGTTCATGAAGCTCGCAGCTGGAAACAGCAGGGATATTTCAGGTCAAGAAAGAGGTTCTTTGGCAAAAACTACACAGAGAAATTACTACACAAAGAAATTTGCACAGCTCCTGCCAACACCATGCTTAGCTTGAGGCAATGCTATTACTCTCAGGAGCTCTGAAGTGACTTTTTTCCTCCCTGTCCTTACCAGAATATCCAGTAATGATAAAGTTATCCAGTAATGAAAAACTATTCCGGTAATGCTACAACCAGATTACTCTGAAGTATTTATCACAGACTAAATATGAGAAATTACATAAGCTTGAAAATAAAAATTCTCAAACCCACAAAGTTAATGAGCGTTTATCTTCCTTTGGCAAATGAAACTAGAGGCAGCCCCTTAGAAACCAGAGGTCAAATTCATTGAAGCTTCTCATACTCCAGAGGAGTATGAGAATATACTGTCAAAGAGATCAGCCTCTTCTTTCTTTATAAGTCTGCAAGGAAGACAAGAGTATCTTCCTCCCTTAACCCCACCACCCCTTCCAGCCAAAGGATATCTCCACATAACCCAGGCCAGACAAAAAAAGCCGTGCACTTCAAGACAGGCAACCATAAATAGTAGTTTTCCTCCAAATCTGAGCTAAAAATGCTTCTAGGTGCAGGCTGGTAGGAGTTTCATGAAGAATAATTATTCTTTCCAGAGTTTTATCTGGCTTTATTAAAATAAGTTTTATTAAAAAAAAGCAATAGAGGAAAAACTTCTTATTCGTGTTTCAGAAAAATACATCACATCTTTACCATGAAGAAGTGGTATTAAGAATTGTTTTAGAAACTAATCCTTCCAGATGAAAAAAGGCATTTCAGTAAACAATTTGAGAAGTCGTGTGTTAAGCATGTTTTCTGCATTTTAAGAAACTAGAATAAAACTTAAAAGCAGAAATTGTCTTGTTCTTTCTTGTACTTCTTGGACAAGCTTTCTTTGTTCTTCTTCTTTTAGAAAGATTCTTTTCTCCCCCTCATCTAGTTTTTATTCTTTCTTCACCATAGTAAACTCACCTCCTCTGATGAAAGGACTCTTTAGAGTAGATAAATATCATGAGCTTTTGAATATCTAAAAGATATTTAAATATGTATCTTAAATATGTATCATGCATCAATCATGAGCTGTGATTAAACTTTTTTTGAATAAAATATTTAAGTGTTTAGGTATCTCCAGGCATTGAGAATTATTTGGATATACTAAAGTAAACATGCCATTTAAAATTGGTCTAGTATTAATTGTTGTTTTTTTTTTTCCAGCTATCAAAAGATTCATCCATCACAAAAGGTTCTTATAAAAACAAATTTTCCATAAGATTAGAGAAAAAGCTTTCTGAAGTATTAACTGGCTTAACAAGAAGAGGTCACATTAGCATACAGGGAGCAGTTACCAGCAACATCCAGAAAATGTGAGTCCCCTTGCTGTTTGGTATATTAACAACTCGAGGCTAAAGTGACAGAACTTCTCACTTTGGAACAGAAAACTCAGGTGATCACAGTAAGATATTTTATTTGACATATACATGCACACCACACACGCAGAATGGATACAAGTAAATATTAACTTTCATTTATTTCTCATAAATCATACAAATGGTATGGGACTCCCAGAGTTATCAGAAAGCACATGTAGGAGGCAAGAAAATATAGTGTGTAGAGAAACATTTCAGCTGTGTATCCAATACAAATGAGTGTTCTGAAGTCCAAAACGTATTAAGTGTCTTTGAAAAAGAAATCAATTGATATAGGGTGGGCTTCTCTGTCTTGCCAAGTCCTAAAACTGAAAAGGGAAGAAAGCATACAACAGGAAGAAATACATTTTAAGCTTCCTAAGTATCTCTTACTTACTGGTATTGGATAAAGAGCATTGGCTTACGTCAATTTGAAGTGTGACCTATTATTTTCATGTTATTCTTTTTGCTTGTGCACAATCCAGTCACACAATGTGTAGTGTTATAGTCTCTTTCAGTGCTGTGTACCAGTAAAGCCATACACCTTGTTTTACAAGAGAGAATACAGATGAAAAGAAAGACTTTGCACTCACTGAGTTGGGACACCACTATATTGGAAGGAGTGAACGACATGCTGAAGGACAGGGCTGCTATGAGCAGGAACCTTAACAGGCTGAGAAACAAGCCAAGAGGAATGAGTTTAAAGGCAGAAAAGTCCTGCTCCTGGGATGGGAAAAAAAAAAACAACAGGAACCAGTATAGGCTGCAAGCAGATTGTTTGGAAATCAGACTTGCAAAAAGAGATGTAGGGGACTTCATAGGCACGAGTTGAATCTGATTCAGCAGTCTGGCTTTCAGGGAAAAAAAAAGTTCTGCATTAGCTCAAGCAATGCCAGGAGATTGAGGGAAGTGGGCATGCTTCTTTCATATGGCTGCATCTGGACTTGTGATGGGTTTTGTACTTCCCAGAACAAAAAAAAAACAAAAACAAAAACTGTGACATTAGAGAGAGTACAGCAGAAGGCCACCAACACAACCAGGGACTGAGCCATTTGGTATATGAAGAAAGGTTGGGAGAGCTTTAGGATATAGAGAAAACAGAACCAGACTCTTTTCCAGGGAGCACTGCAAAAGGCCAAGAGGCAGGAGACATGACAGAACACAGGTTTTTTTTCACCAGGAGGGAGGTCAGACACTGGAATGTGCTGCCCAGAGCAACAGTGGAACCTCTGCAAACTTGACTGGACAAGGCCCTGAGGGATCTGACCTGACTGGACTTGCCTGAGGTGGGGGTTGAACAAGATGGTCTCCAGAGACCCTATCCAGGCTTAATTATCCTCTGATTCTATGAACACAGACGCCAGCAAAAGACTGAGTGAAACAGGACTATTTCCTCTAAGATGAGCTGCCAGGACACTTGCAAGGAAAGATCATAGATCTTTCTGGCAATTAGCTGGAGGCTCCATGCAAGCACAGCATTATAAATTGAGTTAGTGGAATGTTTCCATGCAGTGAGACTCTTCTCCATAGCTACCAAATACAAACAAAAACAACCGTGTTTTTTGACATTTCAGTGATGATTGAAACATTCTATAGTTCACTCCCAAGTGGCTCAAGCTGATAACTAAACAAAACACTGATTTTAATCATCTAATCTGCCAGCAAATTACATAGTTGATTTACGTATTCCTGTCAGAAGCTTCTGGTTCTCTGTGGATGAGTTCTCATACCACTGAAAATGCTAACTTGAAAACAAAAAGTTTAACTCAATTATACAAAGAAAATTATAATCAGGTTTAAAACAATTTGTTTCTCAACCACAGTCATGCCACCAAGCACACTGGTAGAATTTAACCATTCATTAATCACAACAATTCAAGGCCCTCCAAAAAAGACAGCAAATCACATGGTCAGGGATGGACATGGCCACTAAACATTACCAAACCTTATTATGATTTGGTGTTCTCAGTTTGCATTCAAAAGTTAAACTCTGGATGACAACAGGTTTTGTCTCAAACATTTTAACACGGAAGGATGTGGAAGCCTCAGAGCACGGGAATGAAAGTTCTTCCCAGCAATCTGATTTCTGTCCTGCACAGTAATATAAAAGTTGTAGAATTAGTATTGATTTATTAATAATATGAACAGTTGCATGAAAGGAGTTCTTGATTTTTAAAATTTGATAGAATTCCTAGTCTCTAAACAAAAACCCAGAACATATTAAAAGGCAAAACATCTATCCAATACACCAGCAGGAAGTTATGATAGCTACAGTAAAGATGAATCAAACTGTTCAAATGGTTTGTGTACCCAATAAAACTTCACCCTTGTAACTAGAGAAAGAACTCGTAAAGCAAAGCTCAGCATCAACAAGAATAGCAGACTCATTTATACTGTGCCCTCATTTATACCGTGCCATGTTTAATTTCATTTGTGAACTTCAGTGCATTCTGACAATGAAAGTAGCTATTTTATGTCAAAGACTGCAATTTCAGGACCTACATTTAGACCCATGGTGCTGAACAATTGCTCTATTCTACCATAAAAGTATTGTTGCTTATTAAAAACAAAACACACAAAACTCTTAAGTTCTATACGTAAGTTCTTAAGTGTACAGCAACTTTGTGTAATTCAGAAGTTGAGCCATATTGTTTTATAGCCACCAGAATTATTCTTACACGTGCACAAGAAAGGTATAAAGCAATTCCATCTCCAAGTTCCCTTGGTCAGCAAAAAAATAGCAATAAAAAGACACTAGGAAATACCAAATCAAACAAGTTCCTACTAGCAGTGGTCTATGAAAGACAAGTGTTAAACCACTTATAAACCCAAGGAAAATATGGGGGGCATTTTCTTTTTTGAACGTGACAACTGCATGTATATAGTGCAGGAGAGCCATAGATTTAAAAACACACGAAGTGGACAAAATCCACAGGAATGTCTATTCCAGTCAGTCTTGAATGAGGTTAATTTTCATGAATCAATGATGCTAACCAATATTAACATCAAAGTTTGTATCTGCAATGGCAAATACCATGCCTGACCTATCTTAATGATAGAGTTTCCACTGTCTACAGGTTTTATGAATGTAACACCAGAGATGTGTCATGGCAGAAACAGGAATCTGAAAATAGGAGGCTGTATTTGACTCTGCTTTTACACCTTCCTAGAAATGTCTGTGCGTGTATTCAGAAACAGAAGTCCCTGCGTGCAAGAAGCAGTTTTGTTTGTGTATTCCAAATAAAGACATTATGTACTTACAGCTAGTATCTGCAACACGCAACCCTGCATACTTTGTCTGTATCAAGCTGTGGATCCTTGACTCTCGAGGAGTGCTCCCGAAGCCTCTGTGCCCTCTTCTGCTCACCACAAGCATTCTCAGTAGCCTTTGGGAGGCATGCAGGGCCATTAGCACCCTTTGCTCCCAGGGAGGGGAGCGCAAGTGCCTGCTATAATATGCCTCAGGAGAGACAAATATGCACAGCACACTAAGAAAGAGAGAGTGTGTGTAACTAAAAACAGCTGTAACACCCATCCACCCAGCTGAGGGTCTGAGCGTGGCTGGATCTAAGGAAAAGTGGTTTTAAAAGCACAGCCAGACCAGCTGAGGATATCTCAACTGGACTGCGTTTAGGATTGTGGAGGGTATAGTCCTTAGGGGTAAAGCAGCATTTGTTGTTAACTGGTTAAAATTGTTTGCGCATCAAGAAGTGTTGTGAATATTGAATGCTTTTCCTCCTACTATTCATAATGGGACTTGGAAAATGAATTTACAGCAACACTAGCATGAAATTCTGCAACAACTCAAAATGGAAGTAAAGCATGACTTACTGGGATCACTTTGTCCTTCCAGAATATTAATAACAGTGTACATGTTAAGTCTGTTATATCCTGATATTTTGACAGTAATTAAAATAAGTGAAAGGAGATCAAATAAAACTGAATTCTCCAAATTGAGGAAGTCTCAAGCAGAGATCCCACAATGAAAAGGCTGTCTACAGGAAAGACGTAGAGTTCTCATTAACAGGCAGAAACATACTGCATGGGACAATTACTTCCAGAGTATTTAATCTGAGTTAACCAGGATGTTGTCATCCCTTTGCCAGAATCCCTGTGGAATTTTAATCAAAGATGTAATGTAATAGAAGTCCTAATATACAAAATGTAATAAAATCAGAAGGAACATATCGTATAATTTGAAAAGATCAACAGCAAAATAGCAATTCGACAGAGGCAAATACGTATTTCCATAGCCCTCCCCCCCCGAAAAAAGAAAGCATAAAATTCCTATAACAATAATCTACAGAGACAGAAAATACTCATCAGGTTGGAAAGATCCAGGAAGCACTTAAATTACTCTTCAATTATCCTGCAAACATCCTTAACTTTTAATAATAAGTCACCAGGAAGACCTGATAAGAGTTTTGTTTTTTATTTTAAGGTGGATTTGAGGTTGTTTATTATTTTTTTTTTAAATCTAATTAGTTTGTGGCTGTGAGGAGGGGAGAAGTTTGCTCCTAGACATAAAAAGACTTCATCAAGGTCCAAGCAGCAAAGGTAGCTCTGGGCTACTGAGTAGGAGCTGTGAATATACAAGCTGTGAATAATGTCTCCTAGCATCCTGAGACTGCTCTCCAAAGGCAAAGTGTCATCCAGCAGATACAAGGAACATGACTTTCAGGTACCTGTATCTAAAAGACAAAATGCAAGTACAAGCAGATATCAAGAACAAAAAGAACTTGAAAACTAACCCGCCTATGTTATGTTGAATAAGGGAGAATCAGGAAAACTACATACAGGACATAATGTCACAGGCTAAACGGTCTAAAGCCAAAGCTAAAAAGCACATACGCCTTTCATGTCTGAAGATCAACCCAACGTGAACAAGAGTAACTCCAAACGGTCTGGTCATATAATAGCAATACATATTGTACCTTATTCCACATATGTTCTAGCTTTTTGCTGTCAGAAATGTCCACAGAAGTTTCCATCTTCAGTTCAACTTTGGTCAATAAGTATGTCCTTAAACACATCCCAAAAGGTTCAACTGCAATAATTATGAACAAAAAAGAAAGCCCAGCTTCTACTCATCTTTTGTTAACCTTTTAATAGTTCACTAGTTCTGACAGTTCTATAAACTTACAAAACTAATTTCTCTAAGACCTAAGATGTCCTGCTTATAGAGCAATTATCCAAAGATTAGTGTTTGGTAATTCATTTATTCTCTTCAATGAGCAGAAATAATGGGGATTGGTTTTCCGTGACTTTAAGCAGTTCATGCTCATTGCTACCAGATGCTCAAAGTCATTACAATGAATCAAAGCAGGAAAATACATTAATTGGATTAAAGAGTTACTTTTACCTTTCCCTCTTTCTGACTGAAAATGGAAAACCATTTTACCTCATTTAATAAAAGGAATGCAAAAATAGATGTAGTAAAAATAATAGCAAGCCTAGTAAAATAAAAAAAAAGGAGTAATCTCATTTTCCTGCATTTCTTCTCTGGTTTGAGTGCCAGGAAAAGCAACAAGTTGCAAACCAGTCAGCTACAGGAACTGTAGAGAGCTGTGCTTCACAGTGGCTATTTGCATCAGCAAAGTATTGAGAGCACCCATACGCACAGGAAGTCAGAGCCCCTACATCTTGCTGCTGAGGACCAAAACAACAACAACAAATTCTTAAGAAATGAATTGGCTAGATAACGTTTTTACTTCAGAGAAGTGAACAAGTTCAGAAAGATAAAACACTAAAATACTCCTCTAGGCATTTCCTAATAGGGCAGCACTGACCTTTCCAGATGCTGCTCAGTATCTGGAAGGGGGAAAGCCTGGACTGAGGCACCAAGGTCTAAGAAAAGAAAGAAGGGGGCCTTCATTTGCATGCAGCAACTTGGGAGCAACACTAGTTCCTCACACCTGCTTAAGCCAAAACGCAGCACACTATTCCAATGATCTATTTTTGTATCAACTGATCTATTTTCATAGACACTGAAAGCATTACAGAACAACTATAACACACGTCAAATTTAAAAAAACACTTAGTATGCATTAGCTTATATAAAAGTGAGACTGCTGACGTGAAACAATCAGGACTTTTAAAATCAAGAGATCAGCATATATTTATATTTAATCAGCATATATTTAGGCTTTAAGCTCAGTTTTTCAATTGTTTTTCCTACTATCTAACCTGCAATACCAATATAATCCATAAGTATCTCTAAGTTCTATGTTAAAAGATTAATGCTTTCAAGTTTTATTTGTTGGAATATTTTCTGAAGTCTTTTCCTTAGAATAAGAAAATATTGCCAGAATGCTTCAGCTTCTGTTCGTTTATAATCTAGCTAAATACTAGTCAGCTAATGTAGATATTAGACAGTTTTCACCTGGAAAACCTCCAAACTTAATTTACAGGTAGTCATCTTCATAAGGTCGACACGTGACCAGAAGTGTCCTATGGCACACTAGCCCAGCCAATATTTTACAATTAAAAAAATAGCAACTGGCATCTCCCAGATAGTGTGGCAAAGCATTACGCCCTGCCATGACAGCTTGAAGAAGAGCAGTAGTTTCAGAGAGGCAGCAATTTCCAGTTTTCAGCTCCTACCAAATCTGGGGCTCAGCATGCATGAAATCACTCTCCAGAGCTAGGACACAGCAGACAGGCAGCACCAGTCAGTTATGTATAGCCAGGACCCTGTAATCCTGCCAGTATCAAAACTGGAAGCCAAGAGGTTACAGATAAGAAAAAAATCACACTGAACAGCTACACCTTGCCTCTGAGAACATGCTTCAGAGCTCTACCAATGTTAGGCTGATAAACTACTTCATCTGTCTTGAGATATTCATACTGATTTTTCTTCTGTGTAGCTTAACTTTGCACATTAAGAAACCACTGACTGCAACCATTCCTGAAAAAGCTCCTTATTGCCAGAAATGACTGAAAGTAATTCAGCACCTACAACGACAGGCTAACTGTTAAGAGCTACATTAAACAAATTCACGCATTCCATTAAGGAAACGAACTATTGTGTAGTTCAGAGAGTCCTTCTGAGACACAGAATCACAGAACAGCATTGGCCATGGGAACCCTCCAACAGGCTGTTCTCCATGCACACGTGAACTATGTTCTAGAGCAATTAGAGGCTGAAGCTCAGGCATCACGTAGAAGACAACCCATGGAATACAGCTAAATTAGTAGCTACACGCAACACTGGAGCATCACACAGTTCCATGGGTGTTGTTTTCTGTATGATCTTGACAGACTCTGATGAACCTTCAAATTGGAAGATAATTCTGACAATAAAAACTCTAAAGATCCAACTAACTGAGTTTGGAAGTGTGATATCTACTAGCTTGAAATGGTGTGAATGTCAGGGAGCATGGGTTCTGTTCCTGCCAGAGCTAGGACTGTACAAATGGAACAGGTACTCAAACACATGACGTTTTTGTTGCTCACCAACAAATATGAAATGCTCAGATGAGACATGGGACACTGAGAGGGATTCAACTTCCACCTTAAAGCATCCAATTGCAGGTGGATGAGAGAGTGATCTGTGTGAGAGAGGAGTCAAAACTCCCACTTAAGTCAGTGGAGATCTAGTCAGCACATGTAGGGTAACCTGCAAAGTAGATCAGTCCACCCTGAAGACAGAGGCCTGCACCTGGCCAGCTGAGCAATTCCACGGATCCCATCGAACATACTCCTGGATCTCCATCGACTACACACTGTGAGCTGAATCCGTACCTTGGCAGGTCTCTGCTGGAGAAACATCACTCATTTTGCAGTGCTGCCTGAAAGTGTCCGTGTTGCCCTGCATTTCAACACAGCAAAACAGACAAGCAGAATAAGGCAAGAGGAAAAAACACCGATAAAAGCATGAGCATGTGTTACTGGTAGAACATGATGCCAAACACCAGCTGAATGATTTGGCAGCAGTGCTGTTTAGGAAGGCTCCAACTGCACCCCAGTTCTGACTTCCAGAACATACTTCAGCCCTCAGACAGTCACATTGGCTTCAACAGTCCCATAGTGATCCAAATAAAACCAGGAAAAAAGAAAAGCAAGGAGGGGAATAACTATATATAGTTTAATCTATTTATGATTTTAGCACATGCCAGAAATAACTGCTGAGGGTGAAAATGAAACTTAATACCTTCAAACCTATACTCCTTAAATCAGAGACCAGCCTAGAGGCTAGCTCTAACATCCCATGGTACTGTTTTTTGCCACAAAACATTTATAATATAATTATAAACATGTAATACTGACTGAAATTCATTAGAGTTTCAAAGGATAAAGGCTTCACAATTATGAAATAACTTTAAACAAGAAAATGAGTAGCTACTATTAGAAAAAGTAATAAAAATTGAACACCAGAGTTAGGTCACACTGAATAAACTCTCATTGATACAAAGAGTAACACTGTCCCTATCAATTTTGCACAGTACAGCTCCAGCCTTCCCACTAAGCTACCCTATTCTGTCATTGACTCCCTCCCCACTTGGCACACACCTTCAAGGGTCAGTGATTTCACTGCATGAAACTAAATAGGTTCATTAAACTGCTGCACTATGAACAAAAGATTTTGATATGTACAGAGGTGTGAAAACTGCTAATGCTCCATGCTTCAATTTGTAAAAATTAGGGTTACTCTGATAGGATTAGAAAACCCATCTCAAGCTTGCACATTTAAGCTTCCAGACAACTTCCTAGTGCTGATTTAATTTTCTAGATCACTGCCTGCACCCAGCTGTGTCAGAAATTATAAGCTGATAGTTTTAATTTCTTTCAAGTTCGGAATGCTATGTTGGGTTTTCAAGAGTCTAAGCTACATAAATATTTCGAAGATAGGAAATAAGTCAAAGGTACAAAGGAATAAGGGGCAATTTCAATTTGCTTTTATGTGCCCAAACCATAAATGCCTTCTTAAAATCAATTTTCTTCAGTTCTGTCACACTGTGACACCTCAAACAAATGAGCTCAAGGAGCCACGGGCAGTGTTTTCACAAATAAATTGAAACAGAACCCAAAAGTCACTTTAAGTTATGTATTCAACATTTGGGGAAAAATAGAGGAACATTAAATTGACCTTCTGGGAAGATTGTTACTCTGAACCATGACACAACACATCACTGACATGTTCAAAATATGCACCATAGTTCAGGCTCTTGATTTCACTCGCACTTGCTTTGGATGTTAGCAGCATTTTTAGGTAAGGCGCCATTACCACAACTTCTTTTCAGGAAAAGAAAAGCAGCATTAAGGTAGCAGCGGGTGTCACCAACCAGTTCAAACCACGCTGAAACCAGCATAGTATGCACTAATCACAGCAATGAGTAGTCTTTCGGTCTCACTTCTACATCCTATTGAGATTCTGCTAAGCCCACTTTGAACTAAACTGCAATATTATTTGATGCCGTAATGTTTTAGTTGTTCTCCCAGCACATTTAATTAGGCAGCAACAAGATCCTGTGTCATAAGTACGCCCTGGCTGTACAGCCCAAGAACAGTCAGACTGCTGATGCTTTCAATAGAATTTACAGGCCTCCTGGGGCATATGAAATCAGTTTCTCTTTTATACCAACATTCTTGTTGTAAAATTGTTTATCCTATATACTGCTTAGCTGCCATCCTGACTCTAGTCCAGAGCAAATGAAGAAGCTATTTAAGAGACATTTGGATCATAGATGTCTGGATGTAGAAAATAAACAATGCAGATTCACAACAGTCAGTCCAAGGACAGCTGGGCTCTGCCATGCCAATACCAGAGAGCACAGAAAAAAAAAGCCTCTGAAGAGAAGGCCCATCTAAATATTCACTACAGGTCATTCTTTAATAAATCTTAATGTTCCATTTGCTTTTTTCCTTGGATTCTTTGGCTCATAAGCACTCAGCGCAATGCTCAGTAGAGCAAGTGAGGATTTCTCTCATTAGAAGAATCCTTTTTGTGGTGTTACAGTTGAGAAATGGTGTTGTGCAACAGAGCAGCTTTCCTACCTTGTACACGAAAACCAGTGTTCCTTGTCATCATATAATGAACTTGCAATTATTAAAGCTGTTTTGTTCCAAAGGAATGGAATGATCTTTCCTTCTAAGCTGTAGAAGCACAAAGCTTAAAGATCCCAGTTTATTTGGGACATTCCACCACAGAGATTTATAGTTGCTCATTGATAAAATAGAAAAAGTATTTTATAAATGTGTCACCAAACTTTGATTTTTAGGGTACTTATCCAGTTGCATTTTCTATTTGGATCCTTATTAGTGAAGCATCTTGTATTAAATGACTGAAATTCAGACCACGAGACAGAACGAACTTTACTACCCACTTTACAAGTGATTTGCAAGAGCACCACTCGTTAGAAATAATAATAAACAATGAGCTAATGTGCTTTAAATTACTTATTGTTCCTCACATAAACGTCCTTAATAATGCAAAAGGAAAAAACATACCCTGGAGTACTTTGAGCACGTACATGCTTCAGATTCAAGCCTACTGAACATAGGCGCACTGCAAAAGATAGCTAGAGAGAAAATTCACTAGTCCTACTTCTTACAGCCACAAGGCAACAAGAAACTTGCTTTATTCCTTTTAGTCCAAGTCCACCTAAGGGAGAGCGTGCTCCATGGGATCAGAGACATGCTGCTAATAACAGCAAGAGGCTGGCGGCAACATCCCAGTAAGTCTCTTCCCATGTGTGGGAACTAATACTGATGATTTTTAAATTGGTCCCATCCTTGCTGAAGAGCTGCTACTCTAACTTAGCTATTGCAACAAGTCATTCCTATCCAGTTCCCATGAAAATTAAAGGCGGGATATAAAACAGAACTCCCATTATCTAATAAATTAGATTTATGGAAGTAAAACAGAATGTAAGATCACAAGGGAATGTTTCCTCATAGCGTTATCCTTTCTGTATATCTTTGCTGGAGATTAAAATGTAATAGGCTGGGGCTGCTTTAACTATGTGTTCACAAAACAAAAGATTAAGAATTTGTAAAAGATCTATGAAAAAAAAATCTATGTTATTCCTTCTACCACAGTAGCAGTTCTAAAATAAATCAGTTTTATTATCAGTGAGTGCCACATTACCTTGGATGCAAGTCATCAATCCATCTCCTTCCTTACAGTTCATACAGCAGAAACAATATCAAATTGGGAAATGGCTTGCTAAACATAATGAATGTTAATTGGAAGTCCTTATTTCCCTTAGTAACACAAGCCAGCCTAGGAAAGAGTTTTATGAATATTTGGTTAGAAAACATGATTTTTGAGGGGTGGGATTTTATTAAAAGTTGTCATTAAAACTTGTTATTCATAACCCAGACTGAAACCCTTCTTCACTGTGATGTTACATCACATTTTGTGAAAGTAAATGGCAAGAGAGTACCAAGAGTTCTGACTACCAAATTTTCTTGATGTTCAGCAAACCAAAGATGCTTTCACTTGACTGATCAAATACTCTTACCAATTCCCATCCTAGTGTTTTATAAGTATTAAACAGTGTTTCACAAGTATTAAGCCACAGCACACTAGAAATGAGGAACTGAAATAGAGATGAGGCTTCCAACAGTAGAGCAATTCTGCAGCTAAACCTGAACCCACCACCCGGTTCCTCAGTTCAGATTACCTGCAGGCTCCTCTTGGAATAGGAAGCTTCAGTATAAAGTTCAGGAAACATGAAGTTTCCCAGAACTTCTGGACCCTCACACAAGGAAAGGTGATGGCCTAGAGCAGAGCTCTAGGGGACCAGTGGAGATGGTCAAAACCCGGCTGGGCACAGTCCTATGCACCCTGCTGTTGTGGACACAGGTGCAAGCGCAGAGTCTGCAGCAGACAGTTTCTGGAGGTCCTTTCCAACCTTGGCCAGTTTGTGATTACCTGAAATTACCACATTAGCCCAAACTGCATAAAATAAGTACACAAATTTTAAAAGTGTGTTATAATACAGTTTGAGAATGGTCAATCACATTTCGGCATGCAAACCCAGTAGGTAAATAAAAGGAAAGGAGCCCCAAAACATTTAAACTTCAAGTGAACCTTTAACAATGCTGCGTCACAAGAGGCTACAGAAATCAAATAATGAGAAGCAAGACTGAATACTACCAGGAAACTAGTGTCTGGGGGCAAAGTAGACTAAGTTAAAAGACAGAAATTACCATTATGGTTAGGCAAACAACACTGGTCCATCTTGCTGAGTCTAGCAGGAGGGTCTATTAATAAACATACAATTTGCTAACTTCCTCTTTAGACAGCAGTTATTTAGACTAGCTTAAAATCAGGAAGGGATTTGAGGAACATCAAAGAACACTGGCCAAAATGGATGAATAAGAAGAAAGTGAGCAGACTACTGGGACCAATTAACCAAAACAAAGTTGAAAATGAAGGAGCAATACATAGCTGACTTTCAAGCTTTCCACTATCTGAATTGCACTACATGCAGGTATTGACAAAAAGCAGCCAACATTAGGTTATATTGATAACACAAAAATCCCAACATAACTGACACCATAAAATGGTAAAGCCTCATCAACAAAACCTTTCTTCTCAGTCTTACAAAAGACTATAGAAGAATTAGACAATACTACAGAAAAAGCATGAACCAACAGCATGAAAATATTCCACATGGAACAAAACTGGTAAGATTTGAGAGGTTTATCCAAGGAAAAGACACGGGGGGACATGTGAAAATACGTATATGCACCAGCCACACCAGTCCTAAGCTACTTCACCTGAAAGTAAAATGTCAGATGGCAGACCAACAAAATGTTTAGATGAGATGTTCAAACCAAAGAAGGAAAAAAGTTTCTTCTGCTACTTGGAAATCAGATTGGTTTCTATCCAGGTTTTCTATCTGCAGCATGGTCCAACCACGTGATGCTTCTTACATGGATTAAAAATGAGAGTGCTCAATAAGAATTTAGAAATTGCTGTTTTAGGGTGAGGCTAAGAAACAGTTTTAACACTGTCTTAAGAGCCATCAAGCAATACATTTCTCTTACGAATAAAAATTAAGCCCCAAAAATGTTTCATTTAATAGTTTTACACTATTTCAGTCTCACGTTAACTCATGAGCTCATTATTTACTTTGATGCATGTAACTAGGTTAGCATAGCTACAGGCAGGCACTACACCACAGCTAGCTGTTTAGTGCTCCAAGAGCACCACCAGCTCTAGCAGAACATCACCATACACTAACAGCAAATTACATTGTACAACATTCAATAGCATTTTGATTTCATCCAGCTTGTCACCTCATAAATAAAGTACAGTAAAAATCTTTGCATTTATGAGGATCTGGTTGAAGGAGATTGTCGAGCATGCAGTTTGTCTGAAAGGCAAGGGCATAATTTGAGGCACCTGTGTCTTATGTGCAGAATGGTTACAGAAGCCAGTCATTTTTATACTTTTATACCTGTGAAACTGAAGTACTACTTCTAAAGATGGCCATAAAAATAAACTGGTACAAGCACACCTCTTCCTTAGAGTCTTAAGTTTGCCATTTTGACTATATTTGCTAATTCATGACTCCACTGAAAAACATATTGCATACCACAGGACTGTACTAGAATGACAATATCTAGAGGGGGTCCCACTAATTTAACTAAGCAAGCTGCTCTGATGTGCACTACTCTATTACAACCTCATAATCATCAATTTATGGAACTAATTATTCTTTCTTTCATCATATCTATTTTATTAATTAAAACATGGTCTGGATTTTTATCTGTCAATCTAAGTCTCACCATCCAACTTCTATTGCTCCAAGCCAAGGGAGAATTGTTTGTAGACCACTTTACCTTTTATTAGCCAGACCATCCTCAAGCCTCCCACACAAATTTCCAAACTAAACCCTTGTTTTGACAAGTTTCTCTGAAAAGAGAAAAGAGGGCTATGAGATTCTTGTGATATATGTCATTGACATCTTTTTTCCACCCAACTTGTTTCTCAAATGCAATGAGATTTAAACAGCGAAAGGAATGGTTTCCTGAGACTGCAGGCACATTTTTCTAGAAGCTTGATACTTAGCATTAGGAACTTTTCCTTTTCTGTAGTTATGCATCATTTAGCTTTTGAACAAAAAAAAAAAAAGACAAGGAAACATAAATGATTACAAAATGCATTACTTAAGTTATGAAGACAGTTCTATCTTGAGCAATATAATTATCAAAATATTGTATACAAGTTATGTGAAAAGTTTTTCATCAAAACTATGTCAGAATCAGGTGCCCCTTGGAGAGATTTTGAATGTGTGAAGTCTGTCAGTTCTTCCAGTAACAATCATTCTAAATCCTGCAACAATGTTAAGTGTAGTTACACAGCTTGTTTACCCAGCGTGGATTCTGCACTCTGGAGATAGCCCAGCTGCCTTGCCTGTACTTTTGGTTCCTCCCACTCCTTATTTACAAGGCTTCTTGACTGCATTCTCCTCCCTTCTGCCTCCTCCTGTTTTGCCTTTCGTGCACATTAAGTATCCGTCCACTTTAAAAAAAAAAATAACAAAAATAGCACGTGCTATAGTCTACTTCATTCCTCTTTGCAAGGAAAACACAAGGCAGCAGACAACGACTAGCTTGTCCTAAACAAAAACCTCCAGCAACACACATGCTTCTGCCAACAGCTAAGTAATTTTGTAATTATATTAAAAAGCTGGATTCTGTAGTGCTATGAATAAACAGCTGGGGGTCACAGAAAAGGTTATCTGGAATATTTATGGTTCTCACAAATCACCATTCTGGATTTTAAAGGTGCCCTCTCTCCAAAAATTTGAGTATTAAACTTTATATTTCAAAGCAAAAGCATACAGCAAGAAAACTTTCACTACAAATCCCAGTTTTCAGATCCACTAAGTCTGACTCACAAGCTCAAGCTGCAGTCAGTTTGAACAAGAGACTAACTAGATTAGGTACCATCACCGATACCCTATGAATGATCCAGCTGGGGTTTTCTCTAACACTAAAATCATACTGACTTCATCCATTTTCATCCATTAGCCGTCCCTTCTCTCTCCAGCATGCCATCTAATCCATCAGCAGTTCAATAAAAGCAACCCTAAGTGCAATTTGCCATTCCTGACCATAAATCCCCTGTCTGACAAGCTAAATATTGCATCAAAATTTTAGTTCAGTTTGACTCTCGGTCTTACCCTCACCAAGATCACAAACAGCAGACAAGCAGTTTAAGACGACAAAAATCCAACATCAAGGAACAAAAAGCCGTGTTTGACAGCTGCTGCTTAGTCCTTGCAGTGCCTACCCTCATCAGGGTACTCTCAGGTGTGAGAAGAGAGAGCAGCTTTATAGCTGCTGTTCTGCTGGCTGCAGGAGGCACTTTTGTATTTGCAGTCCCTTCTCCTCACATGCACACACAAGTTATCTAGTCAAGGAAGCGATTTGAGGCCATTTCCCCTGAACCTATACCAGTTTGAATCAAAAAGAAGCAAAGTAAACATCATCTGCATGGCCCAAACCATAGCACACCTGTCAACAAACAAAACCAGAATGCAGCTGTAGCTTATTTTTAATAAAGTTCAGAAGAAAGAAGTGATGCAGGTCACCGTGACTGCATCCAACAGGACTCAAAACTCTTCCTGCTTTTCTGAACAGGCTGCAAAACAACTAGGCTACAAAAACAGGTCCCACCCCCCCCCCTTCTCTGAGGCTGAGCGAAGTGTCAAAAACATGGGTGGAGCACGCCCTCAATCCCACCTCACTTTCAAACCAGTGGCGCAATTACTTTTCTGGAGGGTAGAAGATAGTAATCCCAATCCTCCCTCCTCTTGTTGATTGACTTCGACACAATAACCTAACAAGTCACGTTTTTTTTTAAGCACAAGGGCCGTATTTTGGAAGGCGGTCAGCAGAGAACCAGGTCCCCAGAAGCAGCAGCTACCCCTCTGCCCCACAAAAGGAGGGAGCAGCAGCCACCGGTGTCGTTTCTCACTCATGACCTGCCAGTGGCTCCCAGCCCCACGTGCAGGTGTTTTGGGCACCTCCTCTGACCAGGCACCCGGCCCTGTGCATCCACCTGCCCCCAGGGGCAGGCGCTGTGATACCTGATGTGGGGACAGGCGCAGCACCTCACCTTCCCAGCTCAAGAGCTGTGGAGCTGGGCACCTTACCTGGCACCACAAACAGCTGAAACACTGGAGGGTGCAGTTAGTGCTCCACCACAGCTTTCTTACTCGGTGAGCACCTGCCTTGGCTGTTGACTCGAGACAGAAACCTTAAGCTGGGGGGAGCAAGGAGGGAATGGGCTCTTCTCCTCCTGCTTCAGGTTCAGCTTGCCCCAGAGTTGAGGAAGATGATTTCCAAAGCTGCTTTAAAGGTCTGTAGCCAGTCTGTGCTGCAAGTTTCCTAGAAGGCTAACACCTCAGCAGGGCGATTGCACTGGGACGCCTTTTTTACTATGAAGAAACAAAAACACGAGGCAACGCTGGCTATTTCAGCGCTCCTTTTTAACGCTTTGAGCTGTGTCCTAAACGAACCAACTTCGTTACGATTTCCTATGACAGATGAGCCGCTGTAAAAGCCAGAAGCACACACCCCGAGCCGGGAGCAGCACCGGGAAGCACCCCCCCTCCTCACCTGTCTTGAAGGCCATCTGCCGGTCCTCGCTGCCGCCGAAGTGCTGGAGCATGGAGACGAAGAGGACGCCGCACGAGTTCTGGATGCCGAAGACGGCGCCGTTGCACCACATGGCAGCCAGCATCACCACCCAGCCCCAGCCGCCCTCGGGGGGCTCGGCGGGACCGGCACCGGGACCCTCCCCAGCTCCCGCCGCCGCCGCCTCCTCACGGGGCAGGGGCTGGGGCACGGCCCCGCCGCCCCCTTCCGCCCCCGCCGGGCCCCTCTCGCCGCCGTTCTCCTGCCGCAGCCCCGCCGGGGGGGCGCCCGCGGGACCCCCCTCGCCCTGCGGCGCCGGCTGCTCGCTCACCGGCGCCATCCTCAGCCGCCTTCCTCCTCCTCCTCCTCTTCACAGCCTCAACCCCTGGCTGGCCGCGGGCATCCCGCAGCGCGCCCCCGGCGCTGAAGGAGCTGGGCGGGCGGGCGTGCGCGCCCCCGAGCCACGCGCGCGCACACACACGCGCGCCCCCGCCGCCGCCGCCGCTTCAATTTAAAAGGGGGGAGCCCCCGGGGGGGCGGCAGCGGCGCGAGGGCTTCTCCCCGCCGCTGATTGGCTGGCGGCCGGGAGGCGGGAAGGGGGGCGGGGGGCGGCGGGGGGGCGCGGCTTCGCCTCCCTTCCCTTGTCCCGTCCTCCGGTCCCCCCCCCCCCGCCCCGCCGGTGATAAGCGCTCGTGGCGGGGCCGTTAACGGCCGTTAACGGCCGCCTCCCAGCCTCACGCCCCCCACCCCGCCCTGTAACCGGGTGGAGGAGGGAGTTAAACGCGCCCCCCCCCGGGCTCGAACTGAGCCGGTTCCCCCTTGTGGGTGTCCTCCTGCAAAGAGGTGCAGAAAGTCTAAAAAAAAAAAAAAAAAAAAACAACCTTTCTCTGCTGTTTAGTAGCGATAATAATGTTTAAAAAGGCAAAAAGCACCCCAAAAGGCTCACCCCAGCCGCCCCCCCCCCCCCCCACACACACACGTGGACGTTAACGGCCGTTGCGGCTCCCGCTCCCCTCACGGCCCTGAGGGAGCGGCGGCTCCCCCGGACAGCTCCACCGTGGTGGGACTGTTTCTCCCCGGGTTTCTTCTTTTTTTTTTTCTTTTTTTTTTTTTTTTTCAAGAAAGGAAGAGAAAACACCACGCTTGCACTCTTCGTGAAACGCTTCCCGCTTTTCGCGGAGGCACCAACGCTTCCTCTCGCCCTCTGCTCCCCACAGCCAACGACCGGGGAAAGCTGAGGGCAGGGGTGTTAATATGGCAAGAGTTTTGACCACTGATCTCGCTCCCAAACTCACCACAAATCCTCCTGGGTGTGTGGCTGGCAGCCACGCATGTCCCAAGCCATTGGGGCCTGCTGAGGAAGAGGAGCTTCTCGAAGGAAAATCACCAAATCAGCCCCAAAACCCATCGTCCTTCACCCATGGCACCTGGAGGGTTCCCCATCAGGACCAGGGCAAATATTCACCACACCATTCAACACACTTGCTGCCCACTTAATTATCTTCCTTTTTTTTGTCCCTGTACCTCCTTCTCCCTCCTACCTACCCGTGGCCACAAGGGGAAATAATACTTATTCCGAAATAAAGCACCGTGCCTTGCTTTGCACAAATTACTCACTCACTTTCCACATGAAATTTAGGAGCTAAAGAAAGAAAAACACACGGGCATGTAGTGGAATCCCAAGCAACAACGCACACCAAAAAGGTGTCGGATCTACGAATGCTTGGCCTTGGGAATCAAGCAACCTTTGATTTTTTACATCTACATGTCTAGTGGCCTCCAAACTGTTTTAACATAAATTAAAAAAAAATACACATGATAAAAATGAAATACATTGTATAGATGCACCGATCTTGCCGCATACTCCATTTGTCTTGCTAACCATGCCGGTCTAGGCTAAATCTAAACACATTGAACACACACATATAACAACAGTAGAATGTGGAACAAATAAATACCCCTAACAAAACATAGTACAGTTGTATCAATTACATAATAATTGTCAAAACAAATACAACTTTTGGCCAACCACTGGAAAACACATCTGTTCCCTCCAAGGAACGAGTTTTAATGCCTGTGAAAAACCCCAAACCTATCGTTAGCTTAAGTATGTCCAGAATAGTTCGTAAGCAGTTTAACACGCAGAAGTTAACACTTAACATTCTTCAGTGACTCCTTGTCCAAAGGTTGCTCTCCAAATCTTGCTGAGTGCTCTTACAGTAAGTCTGGCTTCACCCAGCACGATATAACTGTTTGGAGCGGTTCAGAGAGAGCAAACCTTCTTTAGAAACCAGATTCAATCTTCATTATGTTTGCCAGCAATGATTAACTGAATTAAACTTTTGATTGCACTGAAATAAACAAGGGCGAAATCCGAGACTGGATCTTACTGTGGCTAATCGGGAGGGTCCCGCTTCTACAGGCACTGCACTGTTTTTCTAACTTTCAGCTAGACTCCTCGGATCACTTCAGCTACCTTCCTGAATGGGGCCCCGTGACCTATATGATATATAGTCAAACTAGCACGAGGCAAGAACCACTTTTTTTTTTTTTTTTTTTTTTTTTTTTCCTGTTTTGGACAGTGCTCAGTTAAGCATAAGACTAATTCCTTCTCCATATGTTTTTCAATATAATACTTATGTGTTGCAGTTTCATTTCCCTGTTTTCCCATAAACACTGTCAATTAATCCTCCCACTTTTTTTTAAAAAAACACATCCTTTATTTTTAAAACCATTGTGAACATATTGTGTGCAACTTCTGCTTCAGGACATTTTTATAATAGATTCTGTTTTACAGTTGTTAAGTGCTGCTTTCCCCCGGAGTAGTATGAAATGACTATTTTCCCTTTCTCCTCACATTGTTGGGAATGTAGACTCGCAAAATCTGGTTCTCCAACACATATGATTTTTATAAATTTGATGGATATACTTATTTTGCATGTTCCTTCAGTACTCTCTGTCTTATTGAGCTATAGCTATTTATATTAAGTCAGAAAAAAAAAATGGTTTATATTATCAAAAAATAGGGCAGGTGGGGCTTTCCTTTACATGGTCTCTCTAGAAGTCTTAAGTAGATATCTACGGAAATTTAGTACCACTTTGCTCTTTGGTACACTATGCTCCTGTCAAAAACTCAGTCTCTTCCCTTTCAAGACAGGTCTCTTGAGATCCCAGCTATTTCCCTCATAGTTCCCAAGAACAATGAAGAGTCACCCTTCGTAATTAGATAATTTTCAATCCCCAGCTTCCATAGAAAATGTACTTTGCAAACAGAACACGGGCAGGTTTCACTTCAGTTTGATTCCTAAAGTTTCTCTATCCCAAATATGCACAATAAAAGCATTGGAGTTCAAATCTTGCTATCAAGGAGTTTTAAAATAAAAAAAAAAAAAGCGATTTGAAAGAAAAAAAAATAAAGATGAAGGAAAAAGATTAGCTCTGGAAATATACCTGAAAGAAACCCTGCACAATCACAAGATAAATAGTCAGAAAAAGAAGGGGAGAAAGAAGGACAAAAAATGACAGAGGATTACCATAAAAATAGCGAGAGCAAAGAGACTGCAGACTTGTATACAGATTACTGTATCTGTTTCAGCTAGACGGTTGTTATGAGCAAGAAAAAGAAACAAACAAACATAGAAACAACACAAATAGAGAGGAAAACGAAAAAAAATAATCAACAGAGACTGACTAAGCTGAGAAATACGGATTTCAAACTAAGATGCGAGAAACATCTTGGTTTTGTCTAAGATTTTTTTCTTGTTGATAGTCATTTACTTGTTCTGTATGTTTTATTAATGTCCTGCTGCTGATAAAGCAACAGCAATTGTCCATGCAAATTTCTCACAAACCATTGAAAATAGACCAATGCCTCAGTAGCTCTCATATGCAGCATTCTCTTCCAGCATAAAGCATGTTTAAATTACCAACTACTTAAAAACATAAAATAATTACGCATCTAATTCAGGTATGCTGCTAGTGACGCATCTAGATGTCTTTTTCCATAAGGCATTTTATTTGCAGAGCATTTCAGCATTATGTAGTATTCGGCAAAGGTTAAGGGGATAGAATGCCAAGCCTGAAGAGTGCATATTCAGAGAGTTTAATTCTTCTGTGGAATAGATTAGAATTTGTACTGCAGTCAATGAAAAGTATATGCCTACACACTACGAAAAAAAAAAAGGCCTTTAGTAAAATGCTTATCATGACCATCAAGAATTCTCAGCCTTTGTCACAAATTTGCAACAAGAAGTACAGCAGGGGCAAAAGCAAGAAACGCAGGCAATATATGAGGCTAACACAAAATGGTGTGACCACTTAGAGTAATGCGTGCACTTAATGATTAAGCCTTTTAGTTGTTTAATTTTCAGCTAGTATTTATAATGCACCTATTCAACAGAAGGATTTGGCCTTAAGTCAGAAAGATGAGATAAACAGGATAACCATTAAAACACAAAAACATACGGTATCACCAACTGTGTGAAGATCAACATTAGATTAAATCCCTTTCAGTAAGCAGTGTTTATGCATCTCTCAGCCAGACAGGATGTTCTACTGATGTTTCAGACGGGGCTCCTGCTGAGCGCTACGAAGCACAGGGATTGCATCTCACCCCACAAGTCAGTGAGTCACATTTCCAAAGACACAAAGCAGGGATTTTATTTGTGTTCTGTGGGGAGCATTCGGAGGGTCAAACCTTGGTTTTAGCGTTTGATACCTACACTACAAGTTCCCTAAAGGGCTATTATTTGTCAAAATATAGGTTCCCTCCTGCTTCACAAGTAACATGAGTTGTGTTTTTTGTTGTTGTGGTGGTGGTTTTTTTCCTCTTTTTTATTTATTTTTTATTTTTTGCAATTTCTAAATAAAAGGAGCAGAAAGAGAGAGGGAATGAATAGAGCCTGATCTCTAACTTGCGAAGTTGAGAGTAAGCAACAATTCCATTTCCCACTGCAATATTTATTTAAAACAACAATTCCAGACTTAACATTTTCCCCTTTTAGGTTCTCCTAGAGCACAGCTTATGGCTCAAGTCTTCTTCCTCTACAAATGAAATTTGGATTTATTTTTTCCTCCAGTGAAGTGCAGAAGGCACTTGACAAGCTGTTATCTGGGCTACCTTCTAACTGCTATTACTGAAAGTAGGTAAGTGAAAGAAAGTGGTAGTCATGAACTCCAAAAGCCCTCTGCCACCTGCAAACCTCAGGTTGCGTAAAGCTGGGTATTTGAAGTCTTTCAGCGCTGGATTCCTTTGGACGACCTCGTGACTTGCTCCCCGGTGAGCACCCAATTGGAGCTGGTCGTCTGCATACTGCTGGAGGAGGCAATAGCAAATTCCAGGGGACAATTCACGGGATTTACTTTAAACATTAACATTTACGATGAGATAAGTGATATTAAAGGAGCCCGGGTGAATAACTTAGATGTAGATATGAGAACTCTAGGCATCCAAAATTCGGTGAAATTAATCCCACCCTCAGATATCAAGTTGAAGAACATCTTAAGATAACGTTTATTCA